TCTGCTCCGTTTAGGCTGGACAGAACAGAAGAATGTGGTCCGCCGTGTCAACTACCGCTCTACAATAAGAACAAATCGGGGAATCCCGCCGTCCTATCCTGAATAGGTAGGATTCGAAGACCCTGTGTCCCGTCAAAATCTGAGTAACACGGTAAGTGAGGGCACCATGTGCCCTCCCCATCCATATCTCTTGGTCCTCCACAAAGACGTCCCGTACAGACGCCCCGGGGCCACTCGGAGTCAACCCTACGAGACGCTCACGCCTCAATACAGACGGACGACGCCCCATCTCGACCAGCATCAAGCTCGCCCGAAATGTAATAACCCCGTTTCGGGCTATAATATCCCGCCGACGAAAGTAAGACCTTCTAAGTCGATTCGCAGCAATGTTGAATGGGACCATCTCCTAGAGGATAGCCGCAGCCTCGTGAGAAATTGTACGATATTCACGAATGATCCTGAGGGTCGGTCCCAACACCGAATCCTGTGGAACTCCGTACGTAATAGGCGCACGCATCAATCGATTCCTTCTATCGACGTAGAGAACACGATCGGATAAGTAACTACCGAGGATGCATCTCAGGTATCCCGGCACTCCCTTCTCCTCCAAGGCCTCCCCAATGACCGGCCACGGAAGGGAGTTGAATGCGTTGGCTATGTCCAACGACACCGTCACCATCAAACCCCCGTCCCACAGACCCTCGTCGACGCGCTCCCTCAGATTTCAGATCGCATCGATCGTAGAGCGATGCTGGCGGAAGCCAAACTGGTCGTCCGCGACACCCCCCGCATTGCATCTAGAAAGGCATGCAGTCTACGGACCACTACCCGCCTCGCTTAGCAGGCATATAGGCCTGTACGAGGAAAGGTCTGGCTTACCCGGCTTCTATAAGAACCAATCTGGCCCTTCTCCACTCGCGCGGGAAATGCCCCTCCCTGAAACAACCCGTGAAGCATCTGGCCCACGAAGGAGCAAGATATCTCATCGTGTCTTTAATGACGACACCCGCGACACCGTCCGGACCAGGAGCCTTCCCAGACTTAATCTTAAGTCCGGCTTCCAAGACCTCCTCAACCGTGACCGCGAGATCGTCCTGCCATTCGAATGGCACATCAGTGCCCTATGGAGAACAATTCGTCGAGAAGAGAGTCCCAACGATATCTCCCACTATCTCAGGGAGGAGCACCTCCACAAGATCCTTTGTCTTAATTTACAATAATACATTGAAAAAAAATGATTGGTTGCTGTAACAATTTAGATAGTAAAATATGGCATAGCATTTTTATATGACTACAACAATCAGTTTTTAGATGTATTATAACAGCAAATTTTTAGTTGTGTTAGCCTATCCGCAACGTCAGTATATGATTTCAATAGGTTAACGCAATTAACAATTTGCTGCTACAACCAAAAACTGATTACTACAAAAAAGCCACATAAGAATGCCATATTTTACTATTTAAATTGTTATAGCAACCAATCTTTTCTTTTATAAATTACTAAATAAAATCAAGCACTATAAAATAGTGTCAGCACGACACATAAATTGAAATATACGGTAACAATGATTTCTTTTAAAAAATATAGAAATCGAATAATGAATTGAATAATAAAATGAATTTTACTTTGTTTTGTAGATTCTAGAAATGAGACAAATGCTAGTCTGGTCCGGACTAAAAATTACTTACAAGAAAGTAAACGAAACGCGATCTCTGGTTGATGTTAAAATTAGGTAAAATTTTTTATTGCCAAAATTTTTCGCCGTAAAGATTTTATTTTGTGATGTGTGTTAATTTTAATTTCTCTTGACGTATCGATAGATGCCAGGCTTGTGAATATCCAGTATTCGAAAACTTGGTGGACAATCAATGGTATAGAATGATAATACCAAATTTTTTGATGAATGACGGAGACGGCTTTCACATTTTTAAAAATAAAAATCGTAATCACAAAACCGGAACAGTCGATATAAATCACTTTATAAAATATGTAACGAAGATGAGTCCTTTATTAATTGGAACCGAGAGACGAATCAATATTATTGAGTAGAATTGTAAATTTAGAGAGGAAGAGAGAAGAAAATTTCTTCATTTATATAGTATATACAACGGTATATAAAAAAATTCTTAATTGTCGACCAAAATGAAATAACTTATACATATATTTTCAAAATATAAAAATATTGTTTTATGCTATCATATTATTTTCCTACACTTTCCTCAATTATTAAAAGATTCAATGAATCGGAATTGAGATGGATTTACACTTAAAAAAGATTTGTGAAGATCGCGTGACAAGAGTAAGAAAGCAGGAAACGCCGGTCGCTTATCTTGCGGTATCTCGAGATCGAGGCAGATGAAGCATTTAAATAATGTATCGAACAGGTGAAATAGCAGCTGTTCGTCCGTGTTCCTGCCCTCAACCAGAATGCGCGAACCGCTTTGTAACATCGGTATGGAACGCTCGTTTTTAACGAAAGAAAGAAAAGATATGCAACGATTAAAGGAAACTTGATATTGTTCCATTATTATATTTATAATATTCGATATATTTATTTCTATATACATTATACATACCAGTCACTATATAAAATATTAAGAAAAATTAAGAATCATTTCATGAAATTCGTGACAATTATATTAATTATATTGCATAATACAAATGACGATTTTAAGGCATTGTGTAAGAGAGGAGCCGAGATTTATATGCTCTGTTGTAAACAGGATGTCGCCATGGATGTAATCGATTTCAAGTCGCTGTTATTTAGTGCCGGTATTACGAAATCTGCGTATCGTGATAGATTATTTGAAATCTATGATAGAACGACGGAAGAGATCACCGCGGATAAATTAAATGCGGTCCATTTATTGTAGACAGCGTTCTCGGAAACAATGATCGCTGCGTAGATTCTCTGCGGAACAATCAATTAGAAACATACATGTATCGATGTTTAATGTGTAGAACCTAGACTGTTGCAAGATTCGGGATTTAGAAATCATTTAACTTCCCTGATCGATGAAACTGTTGATGAACGACGTGTCATGAATGATGTATGTAATGAAGAAATCTCGAATTTGGATGCCGCCACGTGGAGTGTAAAGAATCTGCTAGATTATCACATTGTAGTTCCTGAGAAACGAACCATAATTGATTTCTGATATAGCTGGATCCTCTAACGGCGATTGTTGCTATGCGTTATTTATATTTAATTGACGACAATCAATAGCACGAATCATTTTGGAAGAAAGCGCGGCTCTCATTGGTTGATCATAAGTAGAATTTTTGTTACATCTATTTCTACTAATGTGGAACAACTTTAATATCGATTTAATTCACTTTTTATCTTTTTCTAATTCTTAAACCTAAGTAACCCAATACTTTAAGATATCTTTAAGAATTCTTTACAAAACATATTTAAGATATTTCATAAAGAATTCTGAAAGTTTTCTGCTTCTGCTCGTTGGGAAGTAACTAACAATAAGTTAAACCAAGATTAAAGTTAATCTTGGTATAGATAGAAACGGGTATTTTTACGATAAAAAGAAATCTCAGGGAATCTTGATGAATTGTGAAGGCGTGCTTCTGTTACACGCGATTTGCCGGATATTTCGCGAGCGTCACGACGACAATGAGGAGGCTGCGAGAAAACGATGGCCGCGGTGCGACGTCTGGCAAGGAAGTCTGCGTGGAGGGCGACCGGGAGGCAGCTGTGCCGCGAAGTCGCGCAATCCCGAGAGAGGAAGAGGATAGAGAAGAAAAGGAGAGATGAACAAAGTGCGTAAATGGAAGCTGAACAGAGACAGTGTCGAGATTGGCAGTGCCGTCTTGCAGAGCGGTCGACAGAAGACAAGTATGAAGATTACTCGTGACAGATTATTTATGCTTATAACTACATGTGACATAGCTTTTCTATTTCCGGACTTCCGATTTTATCATTTTCTTTAGTTAAAACATTTATTAGAAAAAAAAGATAATTCCTGATGATTTAAAAAAAACTTTAAAGTAAATATAATGTGTTGTGTGTGTATCATTTGATTTTACTATTAAAAAATCTAATTAAGTGAAATTAAACTACTAAAATTAGAAAATAACAAATGGCTGTCGAAAACAAAAATATAGGATAATATTGTATAAAAATACAAAAAGTAGGATAAGATAGTATATGTACGTGAAAAAAATAGCGCTTTGTTTAAATATTAAAAAATATATTATAGATACAAATCTAAAAATATTCTAATTATGTTGGGTTATTAACATTATTTTCAGATTTAATCGACCTAAATTTTTAAATAATTTAACAATCATTTTTCCGTATAATAATTTATTTGAAAAATATATAGAAAGTATTAAAATATATACTATAGAAATAGTGTAAAATTATTTATTTTGTAAGTTACACTATCGTTCAAAAGTTTAGAGTACTCTATTGTTTTTGAATAAAAAACACGATTCTTCATAAATATAATTTTATTGAAAATATCAATTTTTATTTCTAAACGTACATTATTAAAATAAAATTTATGATTAAAGCAATATAAACTTTCGTTTACACACATTTTTCGTACAGTGTTAGTAAATAAAACTAATTAGAAAAATATGTATATTTTTATAAGTTACACTACCGCTTAAAAGTCTGAAGTACTTTATTTTTAGATAAAACTTTTAAATGTAAATTTAGAGACGTTTTAAATTTTTAAACGGTAATGTAGGTAACGTAAATATTGTACTTTTGAGTAAATTGGCTCAATAAAAAAATTTCCCCTGAGTCTTTGGCAATCGTTCGACGCGAGATGTTAAAATTGCAAAAAAACTTATCCAAAGGAAGCCTACGGTTTCCGCCACTCGAGCGTTCGGTTAACGTACAAGTGCGAGAGAATGGGTGAATCGACGTACATTTGAAACATTCGTAAGACAGAGAAAGCGCGTAAGGAGGAAGAGGATCGTCTGAGTCGACGGTCGAGAGACAGAGAGAAAAAACGAGCGAGCGTGCGCCGGGGACTGTCATGGAGGCAGATCTGCCTGGCAGGCAGGAGGGTCTCGGCTCTCGACCTGCAGTACTCGGCATTACCTGCCAGCGCGTGAGACACGCCGGCAGCTGGCCAGTGTCTCCCAGTGTCTCTGAAATCGCGGACACCGATGGATCGCGGAGCTCACACGAGTAATAGCGCGTGGTGAGGCGGTACCAAGAAGACTCGGTACCCAGGAGTCTCTCCGGAAACCCGGAGCGCGCGTCGCTTACACGACACGGGCGAGCGAGAGATTCGCCAAGTGTGCGCGTAACATCGCGCGTCGCGGTGTCGCCGTGTGTCGGTGAAGCGGCGTACACGGCGTGTAATTCGCGGCCATCAGTCCGTACTCCGGGAGACGACGACGACGACGACGACGACGACGACGGCGACGGCGACGACGAGGACGCCGGTGCGGAAGGAGGCGGGAGAGGCGCGAGCTGTCCCAGAAGAGCGACACGTCGCGATACGATCGATCCGTCAAAAGCCGTGCAGTAGCGGCACGCAATCCAAGCGGCGGCGTACGCGCGAGACCGCCCGCCCGCTGGCGATGGAGGAAATGTGTTGCTCGTGACGTCACGGAATTCCTTCTCGGTGCTGCTGCTGCTGCTGCTGCTGCTGGAGTAAACGGCCGCGAGCACTTGTCATCGTGCCTTCTTGTTCTCGCGTAGTCGATACTCTCGTGGATACTTGCATTCTTTCGAGGAGAAACCCTCGGAGGAGAGCGAGAGAGAGCGAGAGAGCGAGAGAGAGAGAGAGAGAGAGAGCGAGAGAGGGAGAGAGAGAGAGAAGCGCGCGCATTCGGTATATACGACGGTAACGCGTCGGAAACGGAGCAAGAGGAACGAAGTGAGAGAGAAAAGTAAGAAGATAGATAGAGCGAAAAGGAGAGCCGCGGAGGAGCGGTGGAGAACGTGGGCGTTGAGTGATTGTTGTCGGTGCTAGTTTCCATCGGGAGTCATGAGAGACACGAACGATATGATGGAGGACGCCCTGTCGGAGGTACGTAACAAACCGATACATACATAAATCGGCCCGCCGCGGCGTCCTCGCTTTCGCGCGGATCTTTAGATTAATTATGCTGTGCATGCATGTTTTCGCACCGAAGAACAAATTTCCTGTGCCGCTTCAACGCTTTAAACCTCTCCGGCTAAGTGATATCGCAGCGCATTTAAATCCGCATTTAATTCCGAAGAAAAGACTGATTGGCAGTGAAGCACCGAATGTTTTTTTTTGTTACGGATTCTCACGATTGAAATCGAATCATTCTCGTTGAAATAACTTTAAAGTGATTGTTATTTTTTAATAAATCATAATTGAAAATTAATTTTTAAAATAGTTGATTTTATTGGAGTTTTCATATTAAAGATTTATTTATGTCCGGTTCAATAATACTCTCTATAACTTTTAGAATAGATCTCTCTGAAAAGTGAAATCTCGCTCTTAAAGATTGAAAATTGAGCAACTTTTTTTCAAGACTCAATTTTCACTTTTTACAGCCAGATTCCATTCTGAAGAATTTAGAGAGTAGTTCAACTTTAATCTCAGTTCAACCAACTCTTTATCTTTTTCTAAGTTCTAAGAATTAGAAAAAGACGAAGAGTAAGGTAAACAGAGATTAAATTTAATCTATATTCGTGGAAATGGACATTAATCACGAAAATTTGTGATGGCAGCTTGAAAAGATGTCATGAATAATAATACTTCTTGATATCTTCGTCGAATAGAAAATTATTTTCAATTTGTCGTTATACATAGGCAACAGGATATTCTGTAATTTTGAAATAAATCTTTCGCTGAGAGAAAATGTTTCGTATTTGCAATTATTATTCTATATAGAAATAAATCCTATATAATATAGATTACACTGAGAGAAAAATTCCGCTATTTGTAACTGTAATTGTATGGTAAAATAATTATGGTTAAATTTCATTTTCAGATATTACTGATATTATAATTTTATAACAATAATAATTATTATTATATAGAACCATTATATGGAACTATTATTTATAGATATTGAAAACAACATATAGTTGACATCGAAAATGACTATAATATAATTTTTTTATGCCAACTATATATTTATTTTAGAATATACAGTACTATAAATATAATTATAAAAATTACTAACATCATAGCGATAATAACTATAAAATGGTCTTCTAATCATAATTACTTCACCATGCAATTATAGTCATAAATATTAAACACTTTCTCTTACAGAAATTTAATACTGGCCAACTTATTACTGACTGAAAGACAGTAATTAATTATTTATTACGTAGTAAAAACATTATTGTTCATAGTTTTTAATATTCAAAATAAGTAATTAATTACGTACCTTTCAGTAATAAATTAGATTTCTGTAAAGGTTTCTGTAAAGGTTTCTCTCGTAGTCAGTATAATTATAAACTATTTATCACGCTATATACAGAGAATAATAATTCTGTGTGACTTTGAAATAAATCTTAATTTATCATTCTGTCTAAGATAACAATCTAAATAGATTAAGATTTATTTCAAAATCATAGAATGTTTTTTCTATATACACTATAATAAATAGATTAAGGTATTAAAATCTGCTAATGCAACGCCATATATGACGTTGATTACGAGGATTTCATAAGTAAACAGACAGTTTTTCTCAAAATTTTTGTTGTCTGTTGACTAATCTAATTACACCGAATTAGATAATATTGACATACTTTGTCAATTAACAAACACGATAATGTACATTGCAGCGCTTTTACGTCATTTTTACGATATATACTTATCTCGAAATTTATATCCTTACTTCTATTTAAACATATCGCGTTAATTTAATGTTTATTCCTAATATATTTTTGCTATTTCTCGTTGGAGCGGTATTTTCGGAAAAATTCCAATTCACCGTCCGATAATCATCTATATTTACGATCGCATCGTGGAATGCATCGCGTGGCTGTAGCGCGACGCGTTCGGCTGCCAAAGTGCACCTGCTCGAAATCGATTGCGAACAGGCGAATCGGTTTTTTATTCGTTCTCCATCGCGTGGCACGTTCGTTCGTTTTCGGAGCGATTGCGAAACGAATCCTTTTTTTTCTCCTCGCGATATAACGCGAGGATCGATGGATTCGAATAATCGTGTCCTTTCTCTCTCGGTCGCTTTTCCCATCCATCTATTAGAGTGACATTCGAGCTCTATATGGAGGCGCGGCGACAAACGCGTGAATTTCGTACGCATTCAGTGATTTAAATCTCCATTAAAGCGAAGATTTCGAGCTCTCTCGTCCGCTCGCGACGTAAATAGTTCCGATTCTATCTATGCGATATATTCGATTTATGCGACGCGAGGAGGACGCAGAGGCATCCCTTTCTTCCTGATTTTCCCACCCACTCGGCTCGGTGTTCCCAACCCTGTCGGGGTTATTAACGATAAAAGGAACGAATCGATTTACACGCGCATTCGTTATTACCTGTTTTCCATCCGAGACTGTGGAATTAGATACAACAATTCCTGTATACGAAAATCGCTATCTTTATTGCGATGTTTTTTTTTTCCTTTCGTTTTTACACTCGTCTTTTATTATATTATCACGTCTATTGTCCCAATACAATCGGATATATGTAATGTAATTTACTGTTTACGAATCCTAGATCCGCTTTAGATTCTAAGCTCTTTCCTCTTGGTTAACATCTACTTACTTATTTATCTCTCGATTCCAATCTTCTCGCGAGTCATCTCGCTGCGAGTTTTCTCGCTTAAAATTCTATCGAGACGACTCTGGGGCGAATTAGAATTTCAAATTGAATCCTATTGCGCGAAGGATGCGCCCTTTTCTGCAGTTAACTGCATTCTCGATGTCTGTACTTCTTCGAAACTTTGAAAGAAAGAAAAATTCTCCGCGAGAAGTGCGATTTTGCATAAAATGTAGCAGTCACTCCTGATGCTTCGTCCCGTTTCTTCGTAGTTTCAACATTTGTATATTGCACGAAGAGAAGAAATCTCGAATTCGTTCCAATGATTCTCTAGAACTTCGATTATCTTTCAAACTTTTTTCATGTTTCTTCTTGTTCGCAACATTTCTCGTTGAATCTCGTTTAACTTAATTTAGAGTTTTTTCAATCTTTGAGAATGGAAAGTTAAATTAAATTTGTTTTCACAAAAAGAAGACTTTTATATATATTTTACTAATAATAAGATTAATATCCTAAACTGTTTTGTCTGAATTATTAGAAATTAGAAAAGAAGTAAGGAAATTGTCATTTGTATCGCGAATCAGCTTTATAATATTTTTTCAATCTTGGCAAATATAACTGCAATTAGTATTATAATATCATATTTATAGTATAATTAATTGTCAAAATTATTTGTATTTTAACTGTATATATTATTCAAGGAACTGTATATATTATTATAATTTTCCGTTATAATATGCAAGGATTAATTCAACTTTCTTTCAACGGATTGTATGTATTCGACTTTTCTGTAAAATAAACGATTCATTTACATTGTTTAAATTTCGAAATATACGGCGCGATATTAAATTTTCTGCGAAAAATTCCTTAAAACTCACTCTTATAATTCTCATAATCCTCATAATTTTAATATTCTCTTAAGACTCATTTTTCGCGGCATTACTTGAATTTGGAATATCGGTGACATTATCTATAGCGTTTTACGTTCTTACATCTGTTTGCCTGGCAACTAATAAAGAGACGACTGCATCGAAGTAGTCAAACGTGTCCTTTTGCTATGTGCTATACTTATACCTTCATGCATTCTGCCTGTGTTCTATTTATACATGAAATAACTTGATAAAGACGAGACTGTAGAGAATTCTGGCCGTCTTTTGCAAGAATATGAACTTTGAATGGAATCGAAAAAACTTTGAAAGATTGAATGCCCTCTTTAAAATTGCTTTGATTTTCAGGATTCTTTAATTATTATTAATCGCTTGCTTTCTACCTTCGATCGAGAGGATTAATAAATAATTCGGTTAATTGCCATTAATAATATATATAATGTCGTTTTTTTTTTAAGCTTTAATTTTCACACTGTAGTGTTATCGTATCTTGATATCCTTGAAGGATATTTTAGTAACTTGATGTGCAACTCGTTACGATTTTTTACAGGTGATAGTCACACATTCCCGATCACTTGCCTTATCTGCACTAACATGTAAACTTCGTTTACGATCTTTTATTTCTGCCGCGTGTCGCGTACTATGTCGCGATGCAAATTAATTAGATGAGTTGGTAATCTGCGTGAGACAAAGTTGCTTCGGTGCACTTTGCAAAAGAAAGATAAATTGCGAGTTATCGTTACTTATTTCAAAATTTGCATGCTATTTTGGATAACTTAAACGAGAACAACTTGAACAAGAACAACTTGAACGAGATAAAAATTTCTTTAACATGGAAGGACAAAAAAATCAATTCACATTTATCAGTTTATCTAATCGAATTGTATTTCCACTTAATATTTTACCCGAATGAAAAATGAATATATCCGACATGATATCACATCCGACATATGGATCGATCATCTGACTTGTGATTTACATTTGCCCAGATGATTCGTTTTCTTTTTTATATTTTGGACAGGTATTAAAAATGTAAAAATAAAATCCCTGTTCTATATAATAATTATATAAAAAATTGGGTTTTGGTGAAATGAGTTTTTACATAACGTATAATTTGTAATATGGAAAATAAAAGATGTTATTTACATAAAGCTCAATAATGAATTTTTGAGTTATGGTGTATTAAAGATCTAAAACTTGTGCTCTTACAGAGGATTTTTGATACATTATAGCTTAAAAACTATCCATTATTGAGCCTTGTATTTATAATATCTTTTGTTTACTGTATTATATATAAAAGGAATAACTTATTTCACAGAGATCTAATTTTTCATATAATTAGTGCGGTAATCCTTTTCTCATTATCTTTATTATTTACAAATTAAAAGAAATTACATATAAAGCAAATAGATATTAGAAGACTTTAACAATAAAGGCTGAAAAATATGTATAAGTGATAAAAAATTGTTAAGTTAAAATAAATAATTTATAGATCGGGATATATGTATAGTTTTACTTTTATTGCTAAATATCATCTCTTGTGTATTTTTGTTCAATTTTACAACTATACGTTTTTGTTGAAATATTATCAAATAGATATAATTATAATTTATTATTTTACTGATAATCGGACGTGTCTACAATTCGTTAAAATAAACTCGCGTTTTACTTGTGATCGATAGTCCAAATATTATGTAGGTATTACGAAAGGCTTTCCTCACGTGCTTTTATTTACGTGTATCAATTGTATTTAAACATACTTACCCTCGTTTCTCTCTGTGATGACGACAGCTTCATAGCTATAATTCAGCCAAAAATATAAATTTTGAGTCATGCGAGATTTGCATACAAGTATTGACTGAATACAGTTCAGCTTGGTATCTAGCAACTTGCATCAGAATTATTCCTGGTACTCGAAACGGTCCATTCACCTTTATGAAACGAAAACTCATAAAGAAGGTGATTTCAAAATCTATTTTTACTCCTTCGTGTATTGAGCGTACTTTGTATTTCGGTCGCCTCGATTATGCGGAATAATACGAATGCAAGGAGTCGAACATGAATATGCATGCGAGTTTTATTGTATCGACTTATTCGTAGAAGTTTAAGCAGAAAAGATATCAACGACAAGATATTATTTACAGCTTTCGTGTTTGCCGCACTTTAATCTTTTATGGATTCGGGTCCGTTATTTTCTCGATAATCCGTAGAAAGTATTAAAGGAGGAAATTTACAATAATCTCTCGTTTGCCTATAGTCGATCTACATCGGACTTGCTTCTAATTTAGCGAAAAGTAATATTATGGTGAAGATTAATCTCGCGATCGAATGTATCAAGCTCGTTTAAATTCAATACATTTCCATAACAAGGCAATTAGTTGCGAAAGACTGTGAATAAATCGATTCCGGTTATAGCCACAACTCATTAAGGCTGTTTTCTGTAATGATGATAATTAGCACGCGATAAGCAAAACGAAATCGGAAGTGACCTCGCATTTCTTAATATTTTTAGTGTCGTTTCTGACCGTAATCACTGTTAAAATAAATAAAAGTGAAAATTTATGTAATACACATTAATTTATACGAATCGATAATTTATGCATGAACAACATTAATTATAATTTTGTCGTTAAAATCGCAAATATGCTGTAATATTCTTTATATATCTTTTAATAGTACCTATTAATAGTATGAAGTTGGCCCTCAACTTTACAAAAAATTTTTCTACAGCTCATTCGATGGTTTATTGTTTGCACATGTATGTACATATCAAATTTTTGTTTGCACACTTCTAATAAAAAAGTTATTCAAAAAATAACTTTAGCTCAACATCATATTAACTCTCTCAACTATTAGGAGCACATTAAATCGAAATAGTCTCAATCAATAAATTTTTGTTTGGACATTTTGAAACAGGCCGATTTTTTGTTTGCGTATCTTTTATTAAAAAAAGTTGTTAATAACCAAAGTTTAGAGAAAGGTTCGAAATGTGCACATATGTGCAAACAATGAGCAATCAAATGAGCTATAGAAAGTTAACTTTGTAAAGTTAGGGAGGTTAACTTTACACAGGTCTTAATAGCTTTTCTATAAAGAAAAAATATTAATTATATTCATTTTATAAAATTACTTTGTTATACAATATTATACTTTATCATATTTTACTTCATAGCTTATCATAACTTATAGCTTATTATATATAGCTTGCGTGACGTATTAAAGGTCTACTTAGGTGAAAATCGTGATCAATCGTCATTATGTTGGCAGTTATTTGATCAGTATGTTTACTGGCGATCACCGTTTATGTTTCTTTCGTTCTTTTTCGGTGCAATTGCCACTCTTATGTTCTCGTCATAACTGACGACATGATCATTTTAACCCATTCGCGAACTTTCTCCGTGTTCTCGCTTTCACCGATCTAAGGGAATTCGCATTGGTGTGTTCGAGTGGCAAGATTGATTTATATCCATCCGTCCACATCACAGAAAAACTTTTCTAAAATTTTCCTCCCATTTATGAGCTCTTTTATAAATCCAATATCTTGTAAATTGTATTTTAAACCTATATAAGAAGTGAATGAATAATAGAGGCATCTTTTTATGCAAAAGACAATGGAATGCAATACAATTACTAATCTATTCTTCTTTTATATATTGTCAATAATTGTGTCGTTTTGTAAAATATAGTTTACTACAATTGGAAACCGATTTATAGCTTTTTAAGTTGCAATCTAAAAATAATAAATTTTCAAAATTTTACAAAGAAGCAAATGCGTTTGTAAATTTAATTTTTTGCCAGTTGATAGTAAAATCTTTAAAAAAAGATTGAATAATACAATATTATTATTGGACTATCAATTTTTCTCATGTGTTATTGTCGCGCAAAACATAAGTGAAAGTCTAAATAATAATGACCTGCTCGTTATTGAAAATAGGGTATAAATTCTATTGAGAGAAACGGCCAAAGACGAACTAATAATAAAAGATGTTAAAATATTATTAATTATATTTAATGTGTTAGGTACATTAAAAATTAAGCGAAATTAGTTTAAACTTTACGAAATTTTCTTTGATCACGTATGATTTACAAAAAATATAAATTGAATTGAACATAATAAAAAATTAAATGTGATTATAAAGATAAAAATTGATAAAGAATCATATTTAATTATTAATAATTCTATAATAAATAACACAATTTAAATCCATCTTAATAATATTGTCACCTAAATTCCGAAATAGAATATAATGAATTTAAAATTATAAGGATGATTAGAAAGAGTTCTATTGATATAACGTATTAAAGCCAACATAACTAGGTGAAAGTATTGATGATTTTCTACTGTTAATCCATTTATAATAATTGCTTGGAACGTACATTATGTAGAGCTGTGATGAAGTTAGAAGTGAATTGATAAGTCATTGTGGATCAATTGCATCAATTAATATGAAAACATATAATGTAATAAAGATTATAAATATTATATCATTTCCAGCAATATCATTTGTTGTCATTTTGACGTCAAAATTGGCTTGCTATTTATCTATCATTTATCAAAATATGGGATATTAAATATATAAAGAAAAGAGAAAAAAGAGGGAATGAAAAGAAAAAAGGTAGCATTAATACATAAATATTTTATAATGGACATACTGTTTTACAATTAAGACATTAAGAGGTGATATACTTGTATGTATATATATATCTTCCTCTGAATATAAAATATTTACTTTTTAAATTTTATTTCTAAAATATATTGGAAAATATATGTATGTAAAGGAAAGATATTTTGTATTGTGAGTTCTCTTTCATAAATCTATAATTTATAATTTATAATTCTGACATCAAGAGAGGAGCTTGTCATCGACGAGAGAAATCGTTACGATCGCATTATTGTGGATGATAATTATTTCGGGGAAAGCTTTTCTCGATCGAAGAAATTGCCACTAACAGCGCTTATTCCTTGTGAATTACAAAATTTAGTGGCAAATTGATGGTTTGGAGAACTACTCCGAGTGTCATTAATGTCATTGCAACATTGCACAAAAGTTATATAAATAATGGCATTAATAATTCTGATCCAAATTGCAGTAATTCACAACATATATTAAATTCTTGTTTTAAATTAACAGTTGTCGAATTTGAGGGTCTTTTGAAAGTTTTTGAATAAAATTTTGTGTCTTATGATTAATTGTTATATTCTAACGTATATTTATTTTAATTATTTATTTTTACAGTTATAACATTATTTTTATTTTATTTAGCTTTAAGCTTGACGTTTATTACATAATTTATAGACAATAGAATTTTCTTTTTCGTATTATAAATCTTTTCCCTTTTCTTTGTATTATATTCTTTGTGCAGGACACGATGATGGATTGTGGAGGAGATAGCGGAGAAGATAGCGGAGGATTGGAAGACTTTGTCAACTTATCCACTAATATCACGGATAATTCACGTACAATACAAGGTAATTTATTTATTGTACATCTTTCATGGATCTAAATATTATCTATATGCGTTACAAATATTCTTACAATTAGATAATTATATAATTGTAAAAATAATTTATTAAAAATCTAAATTACTTTTAAAATTTTAAGAGAGTTTAAAGATATTTAAAGAGGTATTTGTATTTCTCGGTTGATACTTGCATGCTAATAACAGTAATGTGTATAATGCAGTAGATCTTATAATCGATGAGAAGTTGTAATGTGCAAATTTCAATGAAAACGTGATAACATCGATTATGTTTACGCAGTATATTAATTTTTTGTTAATATGATTTTAAAAAAATTACATTGTTATTTAATTACGATAAAACTATGATAAAACATGTATATTTTTACTGTTTTTATCATGTGTCTCCTCTTTTTGAAATTGTTTTCCGAAGTACGGAACAAATTCAAGTTAACCCATGGACACGATAAATTTAATCTTTCTTTAAAACTTGAAATGGACATACTTTACGACGTGTCGTATATAAAGGTGTATAAAGTTTCTCGTTCTTTAAAAATATTCTTACATTCCAGTGAAAAACGTCACTAGTATTTAGATGGTAGGGTCCAACGATATTATACTTTTTTTTTTTTTTTTAGCAAGAACACAGCCACAGTAATTTTTGTTTTTTTTTTGCAATTTGTCATCATAATAAAAATGTTCCATGAACAAAATTATTATAATAAATCTATAAGTAAGCTCGTAAATTTTTTATTCGATTTATTTCTTAAAGTTTTATTTAGCATTAAATTAATTGTTATAATAATATATAAAAAATAAATATTAACTCAGCCATTTTTAGAAGAAAAGAGTAAATTCTAAAACAATCGTTTTCTTTAGAAAAAAACCTTTAATAGCTCATATTTTTAATATTATATCTTTGTGTAAACAAAAGTTTGTTTCTTTATTTATATAAATTATATAGCTCGTATAACAGTCTAATTAGTTTACTAAATTGAGAGATTTTCAAGACGATAAAATGATTCGTCAGAATAGGAGCGCAATATTCAAGTCGTCTCGATTAAAACTTTTAATAAGGTGCAAATGACGTAGATACTATCTGTAATAGCATAACATTGCGAAACTTTGTACCCGTATTTATTCGTAAAGCGGTACGCGCGAGTGAGCCATTAAAATTTATTAGGTCGATGTCATTAATCACGGAATATAAGTCGGGTACTGCTCGCTAGGAGAATAGTTTGCGTTGCCGCTTATACTGCAGCTCGGCCGATCTTCTCCTGAAATATGAATTCTCTATGCTAATGTCGGCTTTCTATGTACGTACAGCTACAAGAATTTCTATTCGCCAACAAGAATTATGGCCCTCCTTCGTCAGAGCAATTTTAGACGATATCACTTAAACGATATAGATTATAATGTAACTTCAAAATGCACGTAAACAAATTTACGGCCGCCGCGATGACGTCGATTGATTGACTGCGATAAAAACTGATCTGCGTATAATTTAAGTCACAATACGCCATATCATTATTGACGATCGAGAATAATAATTTTATAGCCGTATTATCATAAATCGCATTATTTATTCATGTGTAAAACACAAATAATTTCGTTATTTAAAGATTATTTCAAACATCAGGTATGATAACAAATTAATAAACATTTTACAGTTAATACAGAGTACATTTTATACATATATATATTTTATAAATTATTTATTAGATTAGATTAGAATACAATTAGATTAGAATACAAAAAACGTTTCGATAAGTTATGGCAATAATCGGTGTACATTCTTGAGACAAAATATCACAGCATTTACGGTAACTATTACTTTCTATCTATATTTCGGTCTACATTTTATATAGGGGTAGAAACAAACGGTTTGTTCGTTAAGTGCCTTTCAGTCCCTTTAAATCGTCGCTTAACCTAACCCAACCTAAACTTTACGTCCCGTAGACTATAGGAACAGGACATTTAAATGTGGGTATCCCTGTGGGAACGTCCGGCATAGAGAGTCGCATTGATGCCTCTTGAAGAGGGAGAGAGAAAGAAATGTTTGTCCGAAAAAAAAGAAGAATCAACGAACTCGCTCTCGCGACTGGTCCAGACTTTTCTATTATCGTCAAGAAAAAGAAAAGAACAAGTATGACCGTCGTAATATACGCTTGTCGGTTTGAAAAAACTGTTGATCAACTACCCTCGTAACGTCGAGAAAATAATACAGGAATAACGAAGACATTAGATAATTTATCTAAATATTTTCTTCTCGATTTTTCTCGATTTTTTCGTTAATTTGAATTACTATTAAATAAAATAATTAATTTGTATGTTTTATTTGTTGAAAAAATTTGACTATTATTTATTTTTTTTTACATGAAATTTTCATATAATCGCATTTTAAGTTTCAAATAATGCCTTTTTATTGTTTCAATTTTTAATTCGGCACCGATGTATTTATTATATTAATTATATTGTATTTTTTATACATATATTTTAAAATTGAGCAAATTTTCTTCAAATATATTTCTTCATGTGTCATTTATTAAATAATTTTGATAACTGTAACGTTAATAATATTAATCCATTAAGTTCTTCTACTCGAACTCCGCGGCTGAACGTACTTAATCGATTGCCACTTTTCGATCAAAATCGCTCCCGTTCCCAGGAACAGGTATCTCAAAGTTACCCTCGTCGGAGAAACGACCTTTCCGCTCTCGCGGTGGTGTGTGAACGGCGAGTAGCACACACGTACGGTACCGATGCAACGAATCACATTATAACACCACCACACACGGATGAGGGAGATGAGAAAGCGGAGAGGACTCGTGCGAAATGCGGCGATTCGCAGAGCGGATGCGACAGGGTGTGGGTTTCGGGCGACAGGTAGTTCCCGTGGGACGTTTATGGGGCAGGATTCCCACAGGACCGCAAAACCGGGCCGTCGGCCTCATTGCGGCGGGCTACTCATCGAATCGCGGTCCGGTTGTTACAATAATGCACTCTCCCGGTCATTGTCGTCGATTCAACGCGAGAGTCCGCCGCATCTTTATCGCATGCAATGCACGTCTGAGACGTCTTGTCTTTTTCGGGAGAATCTCAATGGGCGTCTGGCGACTTAACGAGATTCACAGTGGATTACCATTCGCAGAATCAACTTCTTTATTCGCCTGTGAAATATTTTTGATATACATTGTTAAATATCAAAAGGGCAAATGGTAATCCAATCTCTTAAGTTAAAAATAACATTTTGTTATTTTTTACTTTCATGTCAAAACATAAGTCGATTCATTTCTGTGGTTAGTTTCAAAGTAAACAACGTGCATATTAAACATATGTACTTAGTAAATAATAAACTAAATTTGGGTTAAGTTCAATACAGTTTCTTAAGTTAAATTGTTTAACTCCATTGTTTTAATTAATGTTATACCTAGAGTGACAACTTATAGAAATGATTAAAAATAACTCAAATTAAATATAATTTAACGTTATGAATTTAATAAGGTACATTTTATATTTTTTAATTTCAAAGTCAATAACATCCATATTATGCATTTAGTAATAATAAACTAATTTAAGTAAGCTTTAATACATTTTTTGGGTTAAATTGTTTAATTTTATTGTTTTGATTAAACTTAATAGAAGTAACTTACGTTAAAATGAAGCGATTAAAATGACTCAAATTGGATACATTATAAATTTAAAACTGTACATTGATTCAACAATTGGAATTTATGAAACAAAGTTATATACTCTCAAAGTTATATACTATTTTGCTTTTAAAATAAAATCTGAAAAGTAATGTAAATCTTATTATATTGATATTCATTAGCCTGTTTACTAATTTTAAATTCTGATTTTATTTCATGTGCATCGTCCTAGAATTAATTTTGCTATTAATTTCATCGAAAGATACCATTTACAAAATCGATCCTTTCCTTTGTTAAAAATTTTTCGAGTCAGTCTTCTCGCATTAACAGATAATCTAGGCCGTTTGCAACCTGCGTAGATGCCGCCGAACGGTTACTGACCTTGTTAGGCATGGACGAGGACGATGAGGACCTTCTGTCGTCGGAGGAGGATGAGGGTGTTGAAGTAGACATCGACGAGGAAGACGACGAGGAAACGGATAATACCAAATTATTGCATCAACTCGCAGCCTCTTTAGCCCAGGAACTCAAATATTCCCAGAAACAGTCCTCGAGTAGCAGAGCGGCGTATCAAGATCAAAATACGATGCACAGCGTGGAGATGTTGCAGGATACGAGTTACCTTGGCCGCGGTTGCCTTCAGGACCAAGTGGATCATCCGAAAACGTCTGTTCGTCAAAACAATTTCGGTCACGGTGATCTTGATTTTTTTGACGATCTCGATGAGCAAAACGCGAATTTCACAAAGTTTACAAATTTTGAAAACTTCCGTCAGGAACCACGCGGTCGAACCCTTGATTCTTCGAGTTTAGATCATCGCCTGTGGACGGACGATTCAGCAGCTACGCAGGCTGCTGGAAAGTCCTTCAACAACCAGCAGGAGCAGAATCCCGATTCCTGGACGGCAGGATGGGACGCTTGCGCCACCGAGGCACTCCGATATCTCGTCGAGGACGAGGGTCTACCGCTTCATCATCCTACAGTTGTTGCCATGAAAAATCATCTAGATTTGCAGAGGGAGAGGGCGTTTATTCAATACACCGGGTATACGGACAACAAGTCGCAAGACATGAGTCTGCTTCTGGATTGATGAGGCTCTAGAATTAAGGTAGAGAGCGATTAAATTTATTTCTTGCGACGTATCTCGTTGAAGAACTTTCGAGAGAGAAATCTGAGATAAATTAATCTTGTTATTTAAATAAAGCGAGCGTAAGAACATGGCATGTTGTGAAATCGTTTGCGCAAGACTCTTCGCTTATTTACATTTTTCTTCTTTTGAAGAAAAATTATACTTTTCTTGAGTCATAAAGATTCATTTTGTACCATAAACAATTCGATTACTATCTGCTTTTCTTGATTTTGCTACTTTCTTATATTGCTGAGAGACAACTAATTGGACATATTCATTATATTTTTTTTTTTGTTGAAACATTGTGTTGATTGTTAGACATACATTCTGATTGGAACGTCAATTTGACTCTTGCTTGCAGACGTTGCGAGTTGGTTTTTCGGGATCTTTCGACGATTATAATATTATTGACTAAAGCGTTCATACGCTGGATCGATATGAACGTTATTTTTTTTCGTAACGAGATGTTCAACGCTTTGAAATTCGTCAACGTGAACGTCTTAATCAAGAATCATAAATCATTAAAAGAAACTACTTCTAGCAGTTTTAGAATCATCGAACTGTAGAGAAACGTCCGGCGAATCACAACTAGAATTATTCTTAAAACAAATTCCTAGGTTAGCCTGTCGTAACTAAAAAGATGACCGAAAGAATTGAATTACGATAAGTGGGATAATAGAAAAAAGAAAAAGACGTTAAAAGTACTTGATACAAGGAAGTGAGATTATTATATTGATCGCCGACAGAATATTGCAGAATTTTTTTTATTATTATCAGACGAAATTTTTTAATATGTTTAAAATTACATTTATGAAAAAAAATGACAACAATTATTTATTATATACACTAAATCAAGAAATAATTTTTCTCTTGAATGATTTAAAAGTATCGATTTTTCGGAATTGTTGCATTTTGTCGGCGATTATACGCGAAACGATTTTTAATCGGACCGTATACGAAGAAATTGGCTACAATGTCGACAATAGGAAAGGAAAACGTGTTTTAGCCCCGAAAATATTGTATATAATTCGGATTATAGGCGAGAGACGACGAGAGCTCAGAGATTTAGATAGAAATTTATTCGGTCGTCAGCGAATCTTTATTTGTAAAAGAAATTACAGTATGGAAATAACGAGGTCTTACGAGGAATCCAATTCAGATTATCTGAAATGTGTGTCTTCTTATAATAATACTAGTATAAAAATTAGTAGTTTCGTTTAAATCATTGTTTACGTTTAAACAATAAGTGCGAAATTATGCACGTCGGCCATTTTAACACGTATCAATCATTGTAAAAAAGCTCACCGTAAAACCTCAGAAATTTCCACATCTTATACTCGTTACTTAGATAGCGCGATCATCATTCCTCGTGTATACGAGAAATTGATCGGGATCGTACATCGAGTGCAGCATCAATGTTGAATTGATCCTGCATTAATGAAACGAGCAAAGTAAAATAAAACAAGATATACATGAAACTGATCATCGCCAGTGATTCAGGATCGACGATCAACCTCGATCGTGTGTCACTTGTCGAAGAGACTTTACATCGTGATCGATCGCAAAGGATCGAGATACGACTGCGAAGTGAAATGCGGAGAAATTTTTGAGAATTCTTTTTTTCCGTGTGATTTTTTTTAATGGGAAATAATCGACGTTCTTCCCACGCGACCGAATAATAAGCTGTACATATGTATGATATCGTTTTAACTTATACACGAATATTGTTACTTTTACAATAAAGCTCTGTAGATAACATTGACCAGTAAATAAACGACCGCTAAATTAATTAAGCCCGTCGTCTCGTTCTCGTCTTTCCCAGTTCCCTTAAACTGAAACTTAGCCGAAGCGGCCATTCAATCTGGCCATTCAATGCGTCGTAAACACTGTCTTTAGGCATTTGCTAGAAATCTGATTTTTAATTACGTTTTATTTAAATTTTAATTAATCAAATCAGGGGCATAACTCGTAAAAAATCGAAATTTTATCTAAAATATTGTTAGCGAACGTTGTGTGTATGTCGCGTTTATATGATGATACAAATAAATGATGTAACACTTTTTTTTATAATAAAATGGAAAGTTTTTAATAAGATACTTATCGAGCTAATATATCAATATATTCGACTATTTTTCTCAAGTGTTGACTTGTCAGGGAAATTTTGTTTTCAATTCGTCGCAACCAATACCTAATAATGTATATACAATATACACATGTATATACATATGCATACATATATACACGTTTAATTGATACTTGAAAATGTTAATCAGTATGTATTAAATTATTAAAAAAAGCACTAGACTTGACTAGCAAAGTGACAAAAATCTGTTTGGTCGCCCATCGGACGTTCCCAACGTACCAACGGCTCCGTCCAACTCGATATGATATGTGATGGGACTCGTGGAAGGGAACATACGCGAACGAAGAAACGGTTGTGGATCTGGCACGCGACTAGCTTGAAAGGAATCGGGCACCGTGCACCTTTATCGGGGTCGTCCGTCTCTCGAGGAGGGATCTCTCTACGCCAATGGGGCATCTGGTGTCGGTTCGTAGCACATGCCATGCATCTGCTCCATCGAGGTACTTTTGTTGTCTTCGACGTTCGCGTCCAGCGAAAATAAGCCGGGGCAGCAGCCCGCCGACTGCTGTTACCAGGAGAATCTATGTGCTTTCTTTCTTACCGTCTCGCAATCCTCGAAACGCGTTCACCGACCTCCCGGTTGTCCCGCGACAATCCCATGGACGGTTCTATGGGTTTGTTCAAGAGAAACAGAAGGATTCGGTGCCTAGGGGATGGTAGATGTACCGACGGATGTGAGTCAAGAGAGTTAATTAATTATTGCTACAAAGTTGCTTATAATTTTGTCTCTCAATCAAATTTGTCAAAGTTAGTTTCAAATTTGTTTCATTACAGTTGTAATAAATATTGGATGGTTGCTACATACTCCCCTTTCGTTCCTACCGCGGAACATCCTGTTGTTCGAGACGAAGCATGCAGTTTTTTGAATTGTTTTTTAACCATATGAAATCGTTTCGGTTTTTTGGGCCAACGCGAGAGACGACGGAGGAAGGAGATGATGTACGCGAGTCTCGCGAAGGGGAAAGAACAGCTGTCCCGGGTGGTAACCGTCAGGTGGTATCCCGTCAGCTCGTCAGCTGCGGGGGTGAGAATACGAAAAAAGGGTTGAGGGGACATTGCGCCCGGGCGGCGGCCGTTGACGTTACGTTTCGCGGATCTCTCGTATTGATTAGAAGAAAATTGACGTGTAATATAATACTGTTGTGACCCCGTAACATGAAACACTATGAATATATATTTTAGACGTAAATCTTTCGTAGAAAATAAATGATATATCAAAGTTAGAACATGAAGACCAAATAATACCGCACATCAAGCAACGACATGCACAGTATCTTATTTAAATATTTTTTATTGCATTTAAAATATAGTCGTTATAACTGATTGAGTATTAATAACTCAATTGAGTGGATTTTATTAATTATATTTCAACGTTAATTTAAAGTAATTAATATTCCAATCCTCCTTTATTACTCCAATTCGCTTTTTTACTTTAAAAGTAATGCAATTAAAAAAATTAACAACACCAATTAAAATAATAGATGTACAAAATTCAATCGAAGTAAATCAGTAGAATAAATCAATGCTTATTTGAGCCAACACAGGATGTTAAAACAATTAATACTGCATAGTATTTTATCATAACTATCTGTATCTATTCATTTATTTGAGCAATAATAATTATTTTTCTTCTCTAAAATAACAATAATAATTCAGAATAAGTCAATTCCTTTTCTTTCCTAACTAATTTTGTTCTTTCAATCCTTTGATATTGCTTTACTTCTTTTTAACGGCAATGCAATCTTGATAATGCCAGAGTAATTCGCGCAGAAACACTGGCGAGGCGGAAGAATTATTCATTATCAACTGGTAAGGAAATTTCTTCATCGAAGACACCTGCGAGTTCCGTTTATAGCGGCGAGTTAAGAGGTGAGTTATGCGTGCAAATGCGGTCGTTACAAGCAGTAGATAACGAAGCAACTTTTAAAGCAAATTGCCACATACATGCCACACGCACGTCGCAATTTTTCCGTCTGTGAAACTTGATTGCTATTTTAATAACGAGCGTGACAAGGTTGCACTCTTAGTCATTGATGACGCAGATAATTTCAAGAGGGACAGATGCGTTGCGCATTTCTCCTTTTTGATATCATTCTGAATACATAAATCTGAAAAATAAATTCAAAATACAAAAATGCGATAATTTATCATCCACGCTGAGCTAACAATTGCATTTCATTTAGAGATTACGTATTAATTGATTGCGAACGAAATGTTATTCTATTTGTCTAAAGTTGCGTAAAAATATAAAAATATGAATATGTGAAAAGCTCTGATAAAATCTGAATATATTATAATTTAATAAATTTATACCTTTGCGCGCAATTAAGGCCTAATCATATACTTTTAACAAATTGCTTTTATTTCTCTTACATAAAAATTTTTTAATTAATTTTATAATTTTAATTTAATTTTTTAAAAATGTTTTGACCATATATAATATCAGCTAAAAATGTCAACCAAAAAATTAGTTCAAAAGGCTAAAATTAGCTAATATCAGCGAAAACATTTAAGTCATAAATACGCTTTAAAACTGCAAAGTACAAGATAACAAATAATTTTGCTTATGTAATTTAATGACCATATTTTGCTAGAGTGTTAGATAAATAACTTTTAAAAGAATAATAAGTAAATAAACCTTTGTACGAATATTTATTAAAATTTTATTAGTATATATAAAAAATTTGATTTAATTCGTAATTATTTTCTTAACTTACAAATAAGAACTATAAAATACAATTTTACAAAAATCAAGACAAACAAAAAAATTAAATAACTTTTAGACTTTTAATAAGAAAATAATGCTCAAATTTTACACAATTACCCAAACGTAATAATAGAATAATTTATGAAATATTTTTCTGTTTTTATTGTAGTGCTAAATCTAATGCTTTGAAATATGACACATACGTTTCTAATTAATGAATGACAAAAGAACAATATCATTCCAAGCAAAACAATAAGTCATGATGAACATTTAAATTCATCAAAATTTCTACAAAATAATTATTAAAAGTCACTTTTTGATCAGTCACAATTTATTTTGACATTATTTTAAAATTAACCCAACTCATTGTTCTATTTGAAATGTTCTCTTTCACCTGACTAATAATCTGTATATATACAAAAATTTTTATATTTAGCTACGAATTTTCATCAAGATTATGCCAGAAACCATAAGCCCTCGATTTAGAGACGAAAGGTGTTCAGCACGAGCCACACCGTGCAGCGATCGTTTCTTTCGAGCAGCTGCCGCTATTTTTCGAAAATAAAGGTGGCCCTGCCGTCTGTCTGCGGACCCGCCACGTGTAAGGGTCTCTATCTTATTCCCTCGGCTTTTTTCCAATTTTAATTAACCATCCTGATTATTCGTTTCGACATAAGGAACGCGATTCATTAGTCGCATCAACGGCGCAACTCTTATACATACAGTTATACAAAATTACAAAGCGAGTACAATGTATTGAGATTATAATATGACTTAACCGAGGGCCCGATCTCCTCCGCACGGTTAGTAGATTTTGCGTTAGCAGATGTACTTCCGGCAGCTGTAAAAGTGGTGTACCTCCTTTATAAGTGCACGCGCCCTCGACGCGAGACAATGAACACCGATTGGCCATTAGGTCCGCATCTGGCGGATTTCATGAGAGATCAATTTTCTATGCCGAGGTATCAATTCAACACATGATTCGATCGGACAAAATAATTTCAACGTTTATATAATTTTTTCGTGATGTCTTTTTGCGGAACATAGTAAGAGGTACATACAATTTGTCATCTGTAGAATTTAACGCAGAGTTTAACGAGCAATCGTAAGTACTACTAGACTAAAGTAAATATTTTTCTCGCCAGCAGATGTATGCACAAAACAATATGCAGCCGTTCATTATATGAACCTTTTTTTAATATCTTTCATCTTCTTGATACATGGCATGTTGCTACCATCTGCGCGATGGTGCACGAACTTTTTTCCACTACTTTAGTTTCTAAGACAATTTTTTGCACTGGCCCGACCGAACTCTCCGAGTTGTCGCGAATAAATTTTATCATACACATCCCATTAAATTGCGACGTTAGTTTCATTATGGCGTGTAATTAATTTTACTTCTTGTCGTTAAAAATTCTTTATCTCTAGTTATCAAGAGTATAAATGTAAATAATTTATTGTGCTTATTAAAGATCTTATGTATCAGCATATACATCGATGCGTTGCGATATAATTTTCTTCCTTTTTTCCCATTAATTCTTATACACAATACAGTTACGTTATGCTGTTCCGTACATTTCTTTTCTTTCAAATACTAGGAGCACCTGGCTAAATAATGGTCTCCTTTTCTTTTTTAAATCTCCGTCTGCATGCAATTTGGATCTTTTTAGTGAACAAGTGAAATTTTATTCTCAAATTTCTTCGGAATAAAGGAGAACACAGTCCAATTCTTCCTTCTAAAATATTTTATTAGCAGCGGGGTCATATGTAATAGAAATTAATGTTCTGAATTTTTCCACACTTTCTGAAAGCCTTGAATAGCAAATAAGCTTGGGTTGAGCAAAAAAGTTCTAGATTACAGATGGAAAATTAATACACGATCTTACAGATACTAAAAATGTTAAAGTATATGTAAAGATCAGTTAAAAATCTTCGTATATTTAAAATTTATAAAAGTGATGAAAATTAATTCAGATACGAACGACCCGTCGTGTAATAAAAGACCGAAAAATTAGGTAGAATCGTTAGGTAGATTATAATTTTTCGCTTTACTATGTCGTTTGAAAAGTCCGAGTTTTCGAAGTCACAAAGAAGGCCTGCGAGTTACGCAACGCAGGATCGGGATCTATCGCGCATCTGCATCTGCGTACGTTGATGATCGCTGCGTCGGTTCATGGACGGGCTAATTCAGCCAATTTACTTGATTCCCTCGGCGCTGCCACAATGGACCGCCAACATGGCCCCTATGGTGTGGCCGCGCTCGCCATGGTGGCCTGGCGTTTTTCGATTTCGACGCGGAATGCAGACGTCCCGAATTAAATACGCGTCAGTTAAAGCGTGCCCGTCTGTTCATCCGCGTCTATTATTCTCACAATTCGTCTTTGACATTGATATTCCCAAAGCATTCCCCATATATAGAAGATTAAGGCGACATTTAGTTTTTGTATTCCTAAGATCGCCCGTATCTTTGAGTCGAGCCACGAGGAAGATTAATTAATTCCGTTTGAAAGAGAGATTTGAGATGCCACTAGATTATAATTTTCATTTATTTATTCTTCGTAACACATTGATTACTTTTTTATTTTACTTTTTTAATCGTATCTTTTAATTATTGCAACATAGAGTTAAAATTTTGACACATTTTTGAACTGTCTTCATCGAATTAATAAACAATAAAAAACGAAAGAGACTAACATTGCTTCGCTATAATTTAAAACATAAAGCCGTGTATGTGTGAAATGAAATAAAATATTTCTTATAATTGTATGTTAATTTTATATTGCGATTTGAAATATAATTTAAAAATAAAACTTAGAGCATAACAAGAGAATACAATTAAAAACATTTAATTTATACTTATAAAAATATGTATAATATATACAGGTTATATTAACTGAAAAAAATTAGAAAAGTCAGTCAATTTTATGTTAGAACTGTTCAGTCTCAAACAACAGCAATTCTACATTACAAATATCGAATACGAATATCAAATTCATTTTATTACAAAACAATAACAAAGATAGAGAGAAATAAAAAGTTTATTTGTTTGTTTGTTTACAATTACGAGTAACTGTCACAAGGATCAGTATAGAATGGATATTTACACAATCGAGTGCAATACTTCTTCACTGAAACATGACTACTACAAATATCACGGTCTTTAATAATACCGCACATAAAACGGCTCGTAAATTCGCGTGTGCATCGATTGGAAGCAATCTCCTTCCCTTCTCCGAACTTGCTGGACTTGAGGCGTCGCTGAACAAAATCCGCGACACGCGAATTGCAAGCGGTAAACCGGAAGCGAGCAACCGCGAATCGTCTAGGCGCGTAACTATAAGGGTGTGAGAATGAAAGAGATGGACCCTCCACTACCAGGCGTTGTTCCTCAACCGACACCTCCTCCCCCCAACCCCCTCCCATATGGTAGCCATATGTAGGTTCTGGGCACCACCAGAGGGGGAAAAGTCATCGCGGGGATCCAGCTGATGGTCGACGCGTTGGTCGGGCTTCCTCAGTTACTGTTGGACCGCACGTTGGTTTGGTCTACGCGTCGTGCTGGATGAATCCGGCTTCGATATCAATTTTCCAGAAGAACGGAAGTTCAGGCCGCAGCGCAGCACGACGACCTTGACCCTTATTGGATCACGAGGTCGCGCGAGAACCAGCAGAAACTGAAGGTGAGCAGCGAGAAATGATTAGAGACTCGAAGAAAGAGAGAGAATCGAAGGCACGTAAAGCGAATGTTTGATTCTCTGTTAATTAACTAACGGGACAATGATCAGATAACGGGTTTGGTAATAAACGGATAATGGATCTCTTCTGCTTTGTCGATTAATTATTGAGATATTAGGTTCTCATGAAACGTAGAGTAATTTTGCTGCTTGCATATAAATTATTCGATTTTATGCAGATGAATGAAGGGAATAATTTTAGCAACAACTATTATCTTGTTAATTTTATGAATCATATTTCTTCATTAATAGCAACGATCGTAAATTATTATATTACCTCTGTATAATTATTTAAGTAATTTGTTGTAAATGATTGTAATTAACCGCTATAAAACCAAGTGAACTATTGATAATTAGAAGTTAAGTAAACATAATAAAATATGTATACTCAGAAAGAATCATTTTGCTAAAAACTTTAAAATTTTATTTTATACAGATCTGTAAATAATTTTGCTGGATCAAAAAAGTTATGTTGAAAAACTGTAAAATGATGAGCAAAAAGTTTTTATATACCAGCAACCAGTTTAAGTCTCCAATAAAAATATTTTTAGATTTGTTTCAAAATTTTTGATCTTTCAGCAAAATCATTCTTTTCGTATAATAATGAAAATATGATTATAATATTGGTAATTGGCTCGTGTTGGCCGTTGAATTCCAAGTTGGTTAAAGTGGTGTAGGGATGACGTAAAATCTGACGATGGGGATGGGCATCCTTAGTAACAGTATAATGCCGTTCGAGTATTGATTTCAGACACGGGGTTTAGGGTAGCGTTACACGTGTCTACGATGCGTTTAACAAACATCGGTCATGCTCGTTTCGCGTAAACCCTTTAGGATTTCCTTCCGGTCGATTGAGAGCCAAACTGATATAAATCAAGACAGATGCCGTTGCAAAGTAAAAGATTTTCGTTAATCAAATTTAAGAAAAAAATCGCTTCGACATTTCTCTGACGTTTCAGTTGGACAAATTGATCATTTCTGCCTTTAATTTGTCGGTAATAGCATATAATTTTTGTTTCAATGTTTTTATGTTGCATTTTACATGAGATGGATATTTATAGCCGAGTGATAAAAAAAAAGGATAATAATAAATATCTCGCAATCTCCGAGAATTTCCTAGAATTGTAAAACGATGAGCGCGACAATTTCCCGCGCCATCGATCAGGAAGAATTCCAATGACACATATCGAATCATTCGATCGCAACTTCGTAGATGATACCGGATGCAGAAGCTGTGTGTCAGACTTCCGAAGCTGCGGTCGACAATGGCAGCGACGTATACGAGAAGATTAAGGACCGGCCGGAAAAGGAAGTGGCGTCGGTGACCGCCTGGAACCGATACCAGCGATTGGTAGCCGCGATGGAGTCCCGGGGTGGTGAATTCAACCGGAAGTCCGTAATCGAGGCGATCTTCCGTGGCAGCGATCTCGTCTACGTCACTCATTGATCGGCGGATCGATCAGGCGCGAGTGAGAATCTCTCGCGCGTTCCTGTACCAAAGTGCCAGCCAGTATCAAATCACTTTTGAGCAGTGGTGTAGAATTCGCGAGTCGCAACGTCGTAATACTCTTTGATGGGTCTATATGATGAATCTATACAAGGATTTAGCATAATTTTTCGAAAGAATGGAAATGATACTTGCATTATTTTTTTATAGGATGAAATAATGATGTACGTTATTATTACTTTATTATGGATTCTCATGAGAATTAATTATCTCTACAAAGTCATTAGAAAGTAGTAATTATTATATTAATTTTTAAGATAAAAATTTGTTTCAACTATTTTAATATCGTGTAGTATCGTAAATCTTTTTTTAATTTTGTAAATGCCAAGCAAAAATATCAACTTTTACTTTTGCAATAAAATACATTCTGTTTCATTTTAGTATAATTTTTTGTTTTTAAGATATAGAAATTTAAAAATAGTTCTCATATAACAGATAAAAAAAGCATCTTTATACTATGGAAAATAATTAATTATATGGAAGGTATGATTATATAGTACAATGTAATTATACTAAATCAAAAAGCAATATGAAATTGAAACAAAAAATACAATACTATTTTTAAGTTGCTAATCTTGAAAATAAAAAAAAAAATTATACTGAAATGTGAAACAAAATGCATTTTAAACTAAAAGTTGATCTTTTTGCGTGGCATTAACAAAGTTTAAAAAAATAAATTAACTGTGGGTGTTACAACGTCATAAAAACCTTTAAAATCATTCTTTTTTGTGACCTCGTTTGACGTCATTTTTCTTAAAATTATGATAGTTAAATTTTGAAAACGAATTTGTACTCAGCTTCTAAAAATTACGAAACGATTACGTTTGTTCAGGCAATGATTCTAAAATGTGAATTCATGAGCTAGTGTTATTGATCTAAGTAATTATTGCTAAAAAAATAATAATACTCATTAATGTGTTAACAGTAAATAGTCAGTTGACACTTACTCCGTTTTTCATCTGTAGATGAATGATGCTACATGCATATTCAAGTTTTGATGGATATTTTTTGATGTACTGAGATTGCTATGCGACGTCGAGAGTAGGATGTAAGAGCGCAGTTTGACGCGGTTAACGTGGCTGTGTATTATAGTTCGACGTCGAGCACACACTATTTTTAGATCCGCATGAGGGGAGTTTAATGGTTCTGGGAGATGAATGCTTTCATAAGTTTATACGTGAAGCAAGTATCGTTACGTACGAGTATCCTTGAAGAACTCCAAACAAGCTAGTCTCGAAATTAAAGAAGGCACGCACATGTCCTCATTAACGTCGAAGTCCAAATTGTATTAACAAGCTAAGCATTACTCTAATGTATATCACATTTTTGAGCGGAAATAAAATAGAATTGTGTAATAATAGCAAATGTATACTGAGAGAAAAGTGTTTGATATTGTAATTACATGGAAAGAACGTTTGTTAAAATATTTAAAAATTTTACTGATGCAATCTGATAATAATTTTGTTAAACCATCAAAATCATTATGTAGAATGCTTAAGCGTTGATGGCAATGCTGCAACAATTTTTGCAATTGGTTTGAATGTTCTATATAATTATTTTGATAGTACAAATAAAATTATTTTTTAGCTAAATTTTTACTTTAGCGAAACCTTCTTTCTGTCCATGTACAATTACATGATACAGTAATTATGATCAGGAGTTTCATTCTTATAGTTATTATTGTTATAATATTAGTAAAAATAATTATATATTATAGTTCTCTATCTCAAAAAATATATAAATGACACAAAAAATGCTTGCAAACTACAGTTAAATTACAGTACCATTTTTTCTCTCAGTGTACATGCACTGTGAGAAGCAAAGAAATTAAATGCTTTTGAGATAAAATTTTACAAATTACTAATTTGTTAATTGTTAACATCGACATAGAATATTCACTATATATTTGATGACAATACAGCCATCGTTTAATCTTCGAAGAAAAAGATTTTGCCGATATTTGTCGGTAATTATACGTACCGTAATAGTTAACTATATGGATTAATGTAAAAGTAAGCGCACTGCGTTTCTACGCCACTGACTAATGCAATCGTAGATAAAAATACAATTAACGATGCCAAACTGTGTATTACTAGTCAATGTGTGCATAATGAATCGTGGAAGAATAGGATAGACCGTTTAATTAGACAATTACGACAACGGCGGTGATTAGTCGCTATCACGCGATAGACGATGGAAGGCGTATCTCTAATCAGTCGCATGAGCTCATGCGACATTGGCTATGCTCAATCTTGCCAGCGATGAGCTACACTCATTCTATGTATTATATATAGAGAAAGATTATGCGCGAGAGGCTGAAGCCAATAATAATTATAATTGTGATTGTCGCCAATTCTGAAAGATTACGATTGTAACTGAATGATTGAGAGATAGTGTTTTAAACTTTAGAAACGAAGGGAATCAGTTCAAGAAAATCAATTATATTTATTCGAAACTTTACTGTTGCGTATTATCGATCACCGTGATAAGTATTGTGTTTGATAATTCAGAAACATTAGAAAAGATACTCTAATGATTTAATGTCTTTATAATATAATATTATATAAAGATGAAATAAATATTTTAGTGCAAAAATAAAGAAAATTTGAGAGGTTTAAAGAGGTTTTAAGTTCAGTGTCTTTAGTTTTTCGTCATGAAATGATATATGCAAAGGTAATAAATCAAAATTCGATCTCCTTACACAAAAACCCAGAGGTAAAATATATTTACGATTAATTTATACAATTTGCTCGTCATTTCCACGATAATTAAATATTATAGTTGGATTAAGTCGTGGCACGCGACTGATAATTGTATACATGTACATAACTACTATATTAAATATTGTAGTACAAATATACAAAATATTTACAAGTAACGTTTATATAATCAACTCCCCGTCTCCTAGATAAATTCGCTACATATTGTCAAGTATTTTACAGTATTTTTACAAAAATAGGCACAATACAGTGTGAGCGTCTACAATAATTGCATGTATATTACATATCTATAACATATTAATCGCAGCTTACAATTAATAACAAGTCCGAAAAAATGAGATGTAATTAAAAAACTAATTATGTAATAAAAAAATACAAATTTCGCATTACAGAAACAAAAGAACGATTTTTCGTGTCTTAAAACTATGCACAATATGCGCTAGTTATAGATATTCCTCGATTAAAAATTTTACATCTTTCAGAAAGAATCTTTGAGTTTCAGGTTTTTGCAGGTTTTTATATTGTTCCGATATAAAAATCTGAAAAAATCTTTGACTTGTGAAAATTTTAATAAGTTTTTACTTTATCATAGTAAGGTATTTTATCATAAGTATTTTATATTGTATTTTCTTTATTCATTTCTTACAGAATTTACCAAAATTCATAAAATTCAAAATTCGACTGTGCCTTCAAAGTCCAACTTGATTGATAGCGGGATTTATCAATCATTTTCTCTGTTAAGATTGTTATCACCTTAATGCTCTAATTTATGTACTTTTTCTCAATTCCATTATTAACACAATCTTTCAAAAAATGAAAGAATTTACAATAATATTTTTTATACATACATTTGTGCCAAGAAGAATAATATTTCTCGGCTGTACAAAGTCAGTGAAGCCTAATAGTATACTGGAATGAGCCATCGAGAAGTCGGAGTGTTTCAATTCTTAAACAATGATACTCTGAGCCAAAGATTGTACAATTTTCTTTGTCAAGAATTTGTCGATTAACTAATGTTTTAACACACTAAAAAAATTCACTTGACTAAATTAATTTAGTTCATTTCTTTTATTCCTTTCAAAGAAGAATATACGTATTTAAGTCAAACATATTAGATTTTACTTAAATACATACATTTTCTAATGAAAGAAATAAAGACGGATTAAATTAATGCAATCAAACGAACAATTTTTTTTTCAGTGCATAAGAAAGACAAGTATTTGTATGCCTTCTTTTTCTCTATTCGTTTGCTATTTAGTTAGTACAGAGGAAGGCTCGCTCCAGTATTTATAGACTATAGATCTCACTAAGTAAATCATTTACATCTGTTGACATGCCGCTGCTAACATCACAAGGACAAACGATGCAGTCTTTATATAATGTCGTGGCAATTTCATATAAACTCGGTGACGAAAATCTTTTTGAAGTCCGGTACCGAACCGCCAATATCGTGTTTGCATATGTCGCCATTGTCGAGGTAACTCACGTCGGAGTTCTTTAGGATGGTCTTTAGATTCTCCATCGAGAGATTCGGCGTCTTTTTATTAGCAGTCAGTTTATCTAGGTCGTTCATCGAATAACCGGGCGCGATCCTTTTAGTTTTTAGATGATAGGACTGTATGCTAGGCTTCGTGTCGGATAGCTTCGTATTGCTACCGCACTTCTTGTCCTCCTGATCCACCGTACCGTTCTCTATGATACGCGGCGTGAAAGATCGCATGCTGACCTTTACCTCGCTGGTTCGCTTCGAGGGCAGCAACTCCACCTGTAAAACAGAACGTTCTCACGATACGGGATTACGTAAACGTGTGCGCCTTTAACGCCGCGAAAAGGCCGACGAAACGTTCTGTCAGCGGTGAATATTTTTCTATTAGATGCATTTTCTCGTGAAAGTATCTCCGGCATGCCTTGCATCCTCTTGCGTTTAAACTCGAGAAAACCAAGTCATTCTAACCACTATCGGTAAATATTGAATTTATTGATTATTACCCTGATGGAAAAATTCTCATAATACTTTTAAGAATTCGTCGTATTTCAAATTCTTAATAAAACATTTTAAACAAAGATTTTTGAAAAATATCTTAATTTTTTTTAGTATTTTCTTATAAAAAGGATAAAAAATCTTAAAAATTAAAAAATATTTCAAAATTTATATATATAGAATTCTAAAAAAATTCTTTGAAAAAAATATTTCGGAGCAGATTTAGAAGCCTATTCTGTAAGCGTTATATTTTATAACGCTTATAAAAAAATCTGAGAAATTTTTTAAAATGTTATAAAATTATTACAGAAATTTTGAAAAATTTTAGAGTTTACATAAAAGTTCTGAAAAATTGTATAAAGAATTCTAAAAAAAATTTTATTTTCACCGCGAAATTAAGACAGTATAAAATATAGACAAATTATGTCTAATTACGAATAAAAATGAGACATTTGATGTGATAATATTGAACTTAATTTAGTA